CTTTTTATTCTTTTTCTCTCCCAAGTTCTTCCACATGTTTTCCTTTCCATACCCATTGAACTTTAAGTTTGTCCTTCATCAAAACAAAATCCTCAAAACCAAAATAAATAAATAAAGCCATGCCCCAGAAAAACAAACTGTAGGGTAAGATAAATAAGAACACAGAATGAAACCTGTTAAGTCCATTATATGTTGATCAACTACTGAACATGAGGTCTGCTCTACAGTGATTGATATAGCCGATGTCACACAGTTGGACAAAACTAATATTTCCTCCTCCAGCAGTTATTAGAGACAGTGTAGTTGTTAACCTTTATCCTAGTCAGTATATTTTTATTCATTCCTATAAAAATATATTCATGTATAAATGTTATGTATATGTATATGAAGCAAAGTATAATAGAGCAAAAGCTTCACATTGAAGTTGGATAACACAAATCAGAAGGAAAAGAGCTGAGGAGAAAGAAGCAAGAGTCAGAGATCCACTTGTTTCCACATTAACACTAAATTGGAAGCTGTAATATATATGTACTTTTAATTGATTTTACTTTTTTAATGTTTCATTGTTTATTTCAGTTAGTGAAGATATTTTCTCATTCTGTACGTTACCTTTTATCAAATGATGCTGTTATGTATTATGTGTTTAAGTTCCATGAAGGCTCATTGTCAGTTATTGGCCTCAGGGTCTTATTCAAATAGCCTTTTTCATTAACTATAAATTATATCCTTTGTATGGTTTTTTTTTTTATCACATTAAGTTTTTGGGTTTTACCTTGACTTCTGTGACCCATGTGGAGTTGTTTGATGCAGGTTGAGTGATAATGATTGAGTTTTTTTTCCTACTGTAGTAGTTTTCCAGTTTGGGTAGCAGCATGTTTTGAAGATCATATCTTTTCTTCCAGTGTATATGTAAAATGTATACTTTTTGTACTCCTTCAGATTTGTAGTCATTTCTGAATTCGTGAACAACTATTATCTTTTTTAATGTCTTTATATCAGTGTGGCAAGTTTAAAAGAGGCAGTAACTGAATCTGTGGCCTCCTTACCACAGATGGAAGATAACTATATTTAGGAAATTTTTTTCTTTGTTGTTTTCATAATAGCTTTCACTGCAAGGGAGAAGGGAGGGAGGAGAAATGGGGGGAAGGAGAGGGGGCAAAGCAGAACATGAGGGATCAGGAAAGTGGAGTTGGGAGAAGAACAGAGAAAGAACGCGAGTTAAGAGATACCTTAATACAGGGAGTCATTGAGGTTATGGAGAAATCTGGCACTAGAGAAAGGTCTACAGATCTACAAGTCTGACCTCAACTAACAATTTGAGCAACAGTGGAAAGGCTACCATAAATGCCTTTCCCTGATACTGAGATTGATAACTAACTTATATGCCATCATAGAGCCCTCATAAGCAGCTGATCAAAACAGAAACAAACACCCACAGTTAAACTCTGAGCTGAACTCCTGGAATTCAGTTGCAGAGAGGGGGAAGTGATAAGAAAAGGGATCAAAACAAAGGTACAGTAACCCACACAGACAGCTGACCTGAACAAGGGGGAGCTCATGGACTCCCAGACTGATCAGCATTTGACCGACTCAGATCCCCTGAATGTTGGTCTCAGTTAGAGGGCCTAGGCAGTCTATAAGACCTCAGAGAGTGGAACCAGGATGTATTTCTGGTACACAAAAGGACCTTGTGGACACATCCCCCATGGAGGGATACTCCCTTAACCTAGAGACAGGAGAGAAGTCCTAGTCCCTAATCCAAATGACTTGATAGATTTAGATGACTCCTCCTGGAAGGCATCACCCTACAAATAGGAGCCATGGGAAGATGGAAGGGAGAGGGAACTGGGATCGATATGTAAAATAAAAAAAATGATAATAGTAAAAGGAAAACAACTTAAAAGGAAAAAAAAAATGCTACATTCCATTCTTGTTTTCTGTTTTTAAAAAATCAGATATTTAAACCACTTTAAAGTTAACTATACACCTTATGTGTTAGTGTGTTTTTATTTGGTTCTTTATTTTAATACTTATTTTTTAACCTTATTTACACAGATCAGTCATTGCTATTCAAGTTATGTCTATACATTGTAAGCCTTTTCTCATGAGTATTCAACTTTCTATGATTAAAGAAAGACATACAAATTTATGGTCTGCCCTCCAGTTTGCTTTTTCTAGAAAGTGGACTTTCACTAAAGGAATTTGTCAGTGAAAACTTCTTTGGTGTGGCCAGAAATGGTGGTACAGGACTTGGTTTCAATCTCTTTTACTCCAAAGACCCAGCAAGGCAGATCTCTGATTTTTGAGGCCAGCCTGGTCTATAAATGACTGCCAGGCAATCAAGGGTTGCATGTAAGACCTTCCCATCAAAGCCCAATGCTTTAGTGTACAGTTAGAGGAAAAAATATACAGCTGCTACTTTTAAATATGTGTTGGATTATTTTCTGATTGTCAAACTTTTGAAATTAATTTACATACCAGGACAAGAATTAAAAAATAATGTTTTTTTTTTTTTTTTTTTTTTTTTGTATATGGGTGTTTGGCCTGCATGTATCTTTGTGTTTTACGTGCATGTGATGTCTAAAGTGGGTAGAAAACACTTCAATATCTCCTGGAAATGGAGTTACAGATGGCTGTGGGATGCCATGTGGCAATTGGATATTGAACCCTAGTCCTCTGAAAGAGCAGCTCAGAGTTCTCAAGCACTGAGCCATCTTTCCAGCCCTAATTTTTTGTTCTGTTGCTTTTTGAAGAGGAAAAAAAAGATCTCACTGTGCAGGTCTGGCTTGTTGCAAACATATGTGTACCCCCAAGTACTGGGGAGAGACAGAGAGACAACACACAGGGACATGGAGAAACAAAGGTATAGAAAGACACAAAGAGAAAAAGAGAAACAGAACAGCAAGAGGTACAGATAAAAGAAGAATAAAGAACATGCAGAGAAGCAATTGTGTGTGAGTCAGTTACTTTTTCCCCTTAGACTTTAGTTCCTTCTCTTCTTTTTAGTTCCCCATTTTTGAACCCTGAGCAAAAATCCTGGCTGTCCTCAAACTCATGTGGACCAACCTAACCTTGAACTCATAGAGTTATTCTCTACCATACCCGTACCTGACCAGAGTTTTTAAGAGCTCATCATAGGATTGTTCTTTTACGTTCTTCCTCATTTAACATTAAAGTATTGGCATTCTCTTTCTATAAAGTTTAATGTAACAAGTTTTAATACTGTACACTTCTGATTATAAACTGTGTTAGAATAGATTGAGATTTTTGTCATCAAATCTTAACTAGAGGAATAAAACTTATTTGGATATATAGGTAACTTCTGGGTTTAATTTTTATTAAAGCAAAGCCTATTACTGGTATTCTTTTACATACAGTTTTTCCAGTGAATAATGTTTCTTTTCTTTTTTGTTTTTTCCAGTCAGGGTTTCTCTGTGCAGCTTGGGAGGCTGTCCTCAAACTCACAGAGATCTGCCTGCCTCTGTCTCCTCTGAGTTCTGTGATTAAAGGCGTGTGCCACCAACATATAGCTTGAATAAATATACAAAATACAGTAATTCTAGTATTTATTGTTGATGAGTTTCTTCTAAATAGTTATTAGTTATTTCATCTGAGAATTATCTACTGGGATCAGCTTATGGTACTGAATATAAATGTTGAATTTTCTTCTGTGGCTGGACAGATGGCTCAATGCACTAACTGATCTTCCTGTGGTTCTGAGTTCAATTCTCAGTAACCACATGGTGTCTCACAACCATCCATAATGAGATCTGTGCCCTCTTCTGGCCTGCAGGGATAGGGTACATGCACACAGAATACTGTATATATAATAAATAAATAAATCTTTAAAAAAAAAAGCAAACAACCAAGAAACACTTTTCTATGTGTCTTAGACTTTGACTATTTGTGGCAGTGTTCCCTCTGTGTCTGTTTCTCTTACTTACTACTATTACTTTATATCCCAATTTAGAAAAATTTATCAAGGCTGGAGTGAGTGTTTCAAGCTACTTCAAGCACTTGGCTACTCTTGAAGAAGATATAGGATAGATTCCCAGTATCCATAAGGTGGCTCACAACCATCTTTAACTCTCCAGTTCTGGAAGTCTGATGCCGCAACAGGCTTCTGTTGGCATGACATGCACATACTTTTGCAGGCAAACACCTCATAAAATCTAAAATAATAATAACAACAACAACAACAACAATAATAATAATAGTAACAACAACAATAATAAATACATAATAAAAATACATAAGCTGGGGACTTTGGAAATGTACATGGTCAGAGAACATGAATTTCAATACTAAATATACTCTACTCTCATAATTTAAAAAAACAAAATTGTTAATACATCTTTTTCTAGTTTACAAAGTTCAACACATGTACAATGTATATTAAATTTACTATAAATCTTAATAAACTCTTTGTGTCTATGACTGTACCAGGCAGATGCATTGTTTAGTTTATGTTTACAGGTATAATAGTTTGGTATAAGAATATATATGTCTTTCCCTCCCTTCTCCTTCCCTCCTTCCCTCCCGTTTACTCTCTCTACCCTCTCACATGCACTCTAACCACCCTCCCCTCTCATCCCCCCACCCCAATTCCATATGTAGGGGAATGCTATACAGTTGGGGTCATGTAAGTCTGACAGGTCCTGTGAAGTAGGGACTAGGGCTTCTCTCCTGTCTCTAGATTAAGGCAGTTATCCCTCCATGGAGGATGTGTTCACAAGGTCCATTTGTGCACCAGGAATACATCCTGGCTCCACTGTCTGAGGTTAAAAAAAGAATATATATGTCAATATTGAACAATATGCAGTAATTGAATCAGATAATTAACTTAGACTATTTACTTTTTAAAATGTTAAAATTTTCATTATAGATGTTGTTAGATATTTTAATTGTATTTTTTGGTGGCTTCAGTTTTATTTAACATTTTGTCGTTGGGTTAGGCATTTTATGATATTTAAATCAACCTCTTTTCTTCCTTTTCCCAGGGTTCTGATAAAGATCAGAGTTTATATTTGGCAACAGTGAATGATGACCACCCTCCATATCTCACTGGGTCCACAAAATATCTCCAAGCAGCTAGCACTGGTATTCAGAATCAGAATGGAAATCATAGTGTGCCTCAAAATTCACGTCCAAAAGGGCATGCTCCAAACCATTTCTCCTTTCATATTCCTACCTCAGAAGAACAAAAGGTCACTAATTGTACCAAAGAGAGTAAGCATTCAAGGAGTAGATCCTTGAGTTCTAAAACAAGTAGGCAAGACATATCAAATATTTGTATTAATGTAAAGGGACATTCTAATCATGTTCATCAGATCACATCAGTTGCTATCTCCAGCCCTAATAATGAAGATTCTGAGTCAACAAATTTAGTAGTAGACAATCCACAGCCTTCTGCCTTGGTTGGAGAAGCTATTGACAGTGTGGGTACTGGGACTTGTGACAAAGTCAATAATGTTCATCCAGCTATTCACAAAATGCCTGATAATCTTGCTGCTTCTTCACCCTCTTCAGCCAATTCCACAGAATCACTTTCTCCAAAGTTAACTAACCAGAATCATGCACACATTACTGGTTTTATCATCCCTCACAGTAGATTACATACCAGTAATAAAGAAGGGCAAGAAAACTCAGAGAGCTCTGTCGTTGTTAATCTTGGCCTCAGACCTAGACCTCAAATTACACCTCCAGTGTCTGTGTCTATATACTCTACTTCAACAGAAGTTCTGAAAGCATGCAGGTGAGTGTGGTAAAGTTCATCAAAAGGTGAAAATTATTAAGAAGACATGAAATAACTAAATACGATTCTATCCTATGCTTGTAAAATGTGTCAAAGACTGTATAGTTTTTTATGTTTAAAAGGCAGTTTCATATGCAGTGTTTTTTCTTTTTTGTTTGGGTGTTACTATTCATTGTTTATTATTTATTTATTAAGACTGCTGCATTAGGTAAGACATATCTTTGTCTAGTATTACTACCTTTTACTACTTATTACAATAGGCATCATGATTCTGGAGGTTATATTTACAGTGCTGAATCTTACTTGGTGGAAAGAATAATACTCCTCCAACTCTTTCTGTTTTCTTTTGTTTGTAGTTTTGATAGCTTTGTTGTTTTTATTTTTAGTGCTAACAAGTATTGACCTTAATAACACAATTTGCTAAAACAGGGCTTTTTGTTTTTTAATTTAAAGGTAAATTTTAAAGGAGGTAGAAAGAGTTGGGAAACTAATAGCTTTAATAGCCATTATAGAAGATCAATCATATTCTGTGAGAACTTTGAGATTAAGACCATAATAACTTATCTAATAGGTTTTCATCTTCCTACTGCAAAAGCAAGGCAGAATCAAAAGAAACAGGGATATTTCTTTGTACATGGTGTTGCTAGCAACAGGGACTGTCCTTTAAATTCTTGGTAGCCATTAAGGCAATAAATAGCCTGCATTGTTTTTAAAGAAGAAGGTATCACATCTCATGGAACTGGAACTAGAAATGGTTGTTTTCTTCCATGTGGGATTTTTGAACTTAAACTAGGTCCTTTAGAAGAGCAACTCTTGTCCTTAATTTCTGACACATCTCTCTGGTTTGAATGCTTTACCATAATTTTAATATTTTGAGTTCCATACTATTGATATTTAATACATTTAAAGTTTTATTATGTGGGCCTGAGTAGTGTAAACTTGAAAAGTTGAATTAGTTCCTGAATTAATTCAATTTCATATTTATAAATATTACCTTACAGTCTTATGCCCAAAAATTTAGAGTTTGAGAGTAATCTTTATAAGTTTTTATTAACGTATAACCTGGCAATTATGATACTTGTCACTAAAGAAAAACAAGTTAATTCAAAGTTACATACTTGTATAATGATTACATGCAGTATGTTAACTGGACCTGTTTGTAACCATAGCTTCAAAAATTATTAAGAGTTGGCTAGATTGATGGCTGTATCCTTAACAACAAACAGTTTTTGCTGTTGCAGAGGACCTATATTTGGTTCATAGCAAGTCCAGTTTTTGATTGCTTAGCTGTCTTTCTAACCCTGAAGTTAAAATTTGATGAAGCAGAAGAAATGAATTTTCTGGATTTTGGATTGGCTGTAACTTTGGAAAGTTATTGGCATTATTTTTAGGAAGAGAAATATAAGGATAGTACTGTCATTAAATTTGTGTGTGTGTGAATATTTAAAATCTGATGAGAATTTGAGGAGGGAATAAAGTTAGAGTCATAATTTAGTTGATATTTATGTTTTAATTGAGAAAAGAAATTAGGAAATTACAACCAATGTAAAGAATGTTTAATAGTTCATTCCATTAAAACTTACTAGTTCCTTATAATGAATAATTCTGATTTTTTTCCCTCTTAAACATCAATTTATAGCTATTATATAACTTCTGGTATTTTTCTTTTTAAAAAGGAATCTAGATAAGAATGGCTTGTCTAATAGTCATGTTCTGTTGGATATATGCCCTCCTCCAAGACCTCCGACTTCACCATATCCTCCCTTACCAAAGGAGAAGTTGAATCCACCTACTCCTAGTATTTATGTAAGTCTGATTAACTAACTAGAAATAAGTCAATTGTCTGAACCAACTTGAATGATACTATAGGTAGATACATATTTAAATCAGCATAGATTGACTTTTAGGGTAACTATAAGTATCTACTCTTAAGGGATTGAATATTTTAAATATTTCAGAAATACATTATTGTATTCTGAATCTGAAAATAAGTCTTCTTACTGTAGATAACAAAAACATTTATTTTCTAATCTTTGCAAGAAAATTGTTTAGAGATAGCAAATTAAGCAATGTTTTGATTGGTTTATGAGATTAATGAAGCAAAACTTTTCTATTGTTCTTAGTAAATATTTATCTGCATCTATTGTTTTCTAAAAGTGTCAGCTGTAAAAATAGTATTTGTTTCTCGTTTCTCATGTGTAAGGATTGTAAGCTTTCAGTAGGATAGTAAGGTAACATGCTAAACTGCTTGTGATTGCACAGCTAGCACTTGAGAAAAAGAGGCAGGCACATATCTGTGAGTTCCAGGATAGTTTGTTCTAAAGGTGAGTTTCAGACCAGCCAGGAATACATAGTGAGACCCATTCTGAACAAAGCCAAACAGCCACAGCCCCACCTGTATTTATGATTTTTAACCTTCCCTTTTCTAATTAAAATGACAAATGTTCTAGGCAAGTAAGTAATAGACACACACACACACACACACACACACACACACGGGGCGGTGGTGGTGTTATACACAGAGTTGAAAAAGAAACTAAGGGGGAGAAGTGGTAACTTTCTAAATATGTTGAGAATAAACAAAGTTAAAATTTGTCCTTTTGGTGACCTATTTCTTTTTACATGTTTATACTCAAAAGTGCATAATTTAGCATACCTTTTATTAAATAAATGAAGAAAATACATTTAAAATGTGCTGTTGGAAAAAATGGGTTATTTAAAATGTCTTTCATTAAATTACTTTAAAAAAGTAAAACAGAAAAGAATTTATATTTTCTCTATAATTTCTTGAAAATATGAACACAAAATACTATAATGCTGCTTCAGTACACATCAAAAAATAAAATGTCATATCCACACTATACCAATGTGTATGTGTGCTTTGTCTATTTTAAATTGCCAAATATGCATGGAGTATAAGAGTTTCCAGAGAACTAATGAAATGTCTTAACTTTATAGCTGGAAAATAAGCGTGATGCCTTTTTTCCTCTTTTACATCAATTTTGCATCAACCCAAAAAACCCGGTCACAGTAATTCGAGGCCTTGCTGGAGCTCTTAAGTTAGGTAACTTTTAAAATATTTGAACAGTTTCAATATTAGTGAACTTAGAATAGCAGTAGTTGGTTGTGTAATTTTATGATGTAGAATATTTTGTTTATTTTTGTATTTTTAATCTCCTATGCCTGTTTCTGTCTCAACTACTATCTCTGCTTTCTCTTATTTTTCATTTCTTCCTCCTCTTCCCCTGCTCCTTCCCTTCTTTTTGTAATAGTCTTCCTCTGCTCCTTTCTTTATTCTGTCTTCCATTTCTCTACATTAGTTCCATATGTATCTGCTTTTTAATAGCTTATTAATTTTTAAAAAGTTTTTTAGGGTAATTTATATGTCATTAAACATGTCTTTGGAGCACATGATATTGCTTACCAGCAGCTTAATTTAATTCATGTCTTTTAAAAGATGGTTTATATTACATAATAGAATATTTTTTAGTATAAAATACAAAAGAGAATTGTTTCATCTGTTATAATGGCTACATCAAGGGACTGATCTACAATTCTGCTACCAAATGGATTGGAACTATTTTGACAGAAACATAATATTCCATAATTTTAATTTCTTTCAAATTTTTAATGAGTGTAATTTTACAAATTTAATGAGTAATATTTATTTTTGAAGATCTTGGATTGTTCTCTACCAAAACTTTGGTAGAAGCTAACAATGATCATATGGTAGAAGTGAGGACACAATTATTGCAGCCAGCAGATGAAAACTGGGATCCCACTGGAACAAAGAAAATCTGGCGGTATGAAAATAAAAGTTCTCATACTACAATTGCTAAATATGCACAGTACCAGGCCTGCTCCTTCCAAGAATCATTAAAAGTAAGTTCACTTTGCATAAACATTGGGAGAAGAGTGTTAAGGGGATTTTTTTTTTTAACACAAATGCTTGTTTTTGTGTGGGGCAGCAGTTTTGAGTCTTTTTCCTCAAGTAATCTCAACACTTTGAACTTGCAGAACAGAGTATGCTGGATGTCCAGTGAATTCAAAGGATCTGTCTGTCTTCTGTCTCCCTGCACTAAAATTACAAATCTATAATCCTAAGGACATTGACAAATTTAATTGTATTCAGACAGTGTCTCACAGTGTAGCTCTGGCTGGCAAGGACCTTTGAGTGATTGCACCTGCCTCTGCATCCCAAGTGTGTGCCACTGTGCCTACATAGGACACTGAGGAATATTAAAAACATGTTTAAATACCATGAAATCTAAGAAGAGACCCATCCATGTTCAAGATGGATATAAAACAGTAGTAGTCAGTAGCAGAAAAGAAACTCCTCATACTGTAGTTAATACCACCCTCTCCCCATCTTGTGGACTGAACATAGAACCTTCTTCTTGCTACACAAGTGTTCTACCACTAAGCTAAATCCCTAACCCCTCTTATATTTTAGTTAAAACACTAAGTATATAGTATATGTATAAGTATAAGTATATGTTTGAAAGATACAAAAAGGAAATACCTAGCTGCATATTAAGGCATAGGCACATCAAAATAACAGTTTTGAACACAAACCATAAAAGCATGAATAGTTTAAAATGATGTGTTTCAAATTATTTTAAAAATCTCATTTTTACATACAATTACCTAATTAAGTAAAGCTATATGTGCTAATGTAGGCAAAAAGAAAAATACTCCATGATGAAGGTATCTTTGATCACTAAGAATCACTAATTCTTCAGACTGAAAAAAGATAAATTTACGTAATAGTCCATCAAAGTTTATAAATAATTCTAAAAAAGAAAAAAATAGCCAATAAACATTTTAATAATACATAGGTTCATAGTTATAAAGGAAATACAAGTCATTTCACCCTACTTTGAATGTCTCCCATCAATAAAACAAATAATTATCAAATGCTAACAAAGGATTCTCACAAAAATCCCAAGTTAAGCAACCACAACATATATGCAGAGGAGCTAGGGATAGTCTTCATCTCTTCCTTTCCCACCTGATCCCTTCGATTTCCATCCCCACCCACCCCAAGTTTATTATTTCCCTTTTGCAGGGAAATTCACACATCCTCTGTGGTGCCAGCCCTCCTTGTTACTTAGCCTCTCTGGTGCTGTGTGTTGTAGCATGATTATCACTTACTATACAGCTAATATCTAGTTATGAGTGTGTAGGAACCATGTTTGTCTTTCTGGGTTTGGGTTACTTCACTGAGAATGATTTTTGTCTAGTTCCATTTATTTGCCTGCTGCTGTCCCTCCCAGTTGAATAACCATTTAATCCCAAATTAACACACAGAGGCTTATATTAAGTATAATCTGTTTGGAAGATTGCTCAGGCTTATTACTAACTAGCTCTTACAACTTCAATTAACCCATAATTTTTACCTGTCTTTAGCCGCATGGCTTGGTATTGTTCATCTTTTTCCCTCTGCATCTGCTTTTCCTGTTTCCAAAATTCTTCCTGTGTTTTATTGAGCCAATACAAGTAACAAAACTTTATAGTGTACAAGTTTTTTAGCCCATAGCAGCCTGCAAATTTCCTGATGTCATTATTTTTAACAGCTGTGTAATTGTTTATGTACCACATTTTCTTTATCTGTTCTTCAAAAACATCTTAGGATGTTTCCATGTCCTGGGTATTATGAATAATTATGCTATGAACATAGTTGAGCAACTGTTCTTCTGGAATGATTGAATATCCTTTGGGTATATGCCCAAGAGTGGGACAGTTGGATCTTGAAGTAGATTGATTGACAGTCTTTTGAGTAATTGCTATATTGATTTCCAAAGTAGCTGTACATGTTTGGACTTCCCCCAGCTGTAGATCACCTTCCCCCTTGGTCCAGATTTTTTCCAGCATGAGTTGTCATTTGTGTGCAAAGGTCATGTGGAAACATACACTAATTCGTAAGTTTGTTAATAAATATAATAATTTTTAGAGAGATGAGTTAGAAGTCCCCTTCCTGTGTTGATAATAGTACTCACATTAGCCCTAGGATACTAAATGGAAAATCTCAGTTCCAGATGTTACATCCCTGAGTAGTTAGTTTGTCAGGGATGCTTTAAAGTCTCATAAGTAATTTTTCTACTGCTCTGAGAAAATACCACAGCCAGTGCTACTTGTAAAATAAAATGTGTAATTTGTGATGGAACAGACATATGGCAGCAGGAATAATTGAGAATTCATATCTTGAAGTAGAGCGGGAAACTATTCACTGGAGATGGAGATTTTTGGAGGCTTTTAAAAAACCATTTTTTAAAACAAAATTTTCAAACATCATTCTTGAATCATGTTTTCCCCTTTACCAATTCCTCCTATATTCTCTTGGTATCCTACTCATATCCAACCACATGACCCCCTCAAAAGAAATAAAATTCAAACAACAAAAGTAATACACACAAATATACTCTATAAAACACAAAAACTGAGGTTGAAATAAATAAGAAAAATAACAGTAAGACATTAAAAAATGTTCTGAGGAAGCAAAAAGTGGCACCTAAATAAAACAAAAAAACATTGATTTTGGTTTGTATTAGTCAACTACTCCTGGGCATGATGCCTTTGAAGTGTGGCTCATCTACCCAGTGAGACTCTGTTGTAGAGAATGGATTTTGTCATTGCCAGGGGGAGCCTGTTGCACATAGTTTCTTGGTTTGGAGTGAGCGAGTATGTTGACATTCCCCTCTCAGCACAGCGACCCATCTGGTTTGAATTTGTGAATGATGCCACAGTCTCTGTGAATTCATACTTATGTTTGTATGTGTGTTCTATTTTGTCTGGAAGATATTTGTTTCCTGTAGTCTTCCACCACCTCTTTCTCTTACAATGTTGCCTTGGGTGGGGTGGGGGTCCTCTGCAAGCAGGATAGTTGCATCCTGTATATCTGTGAGGTACGTCCAGTTCAACAGGACACAGCAGCTGGTGTTTGTTCCAAGTCTGAGATAGAGCAAAGGTCACCCACACCAGCCGTTTAACAAAATCCACTCTTAATCGGGCAGAATAAAATGGTTGTGTATTATTTTTTCCTTTGAATAGACAATCTTATGCTTTTAACATTCTGATTTCCCTAGTGCTTATCTTTGAGCACAAGGACTTTTGTGCACCTGAATCTCAATTTTGCTTATTTTTAAAAAAGAAAATAATTTGCAGAGTCCAAAGTTGAATGCATTGCCTTTTATGGCTAGCCTAAATGTAGGTAAGCATGAGAATTATAACAGAGGAAAGGACAAGTAAAAGAGCAAATTCTTCTTAACTATAATGGACATTCTAAGGTCACTTAGGAGATTTTATCTCTATTAAAAATCATTAATTTGACCATTTATAGAGACCATATATGAGAAAAATCATAAAACCAAGATTATATTTGAGCAACAGATAATCTATAATTGTTCTGTTTTGTGAAACTGTAGTTCTCCACTCACCCATCTCAATTCATTTCTGCTAATATTTTTGCTATATTTGGCAGTTCTTTTTGTATTCCATTAACTACTCCTGGGATACAAAATAAAAGAGCTACAGTGGCTGCAACTGTTACTTGGTCTAATAGATGTAAATGTCATCAATTTTCAAGGATAGTTCTCCAAATTCTGTTCAGATTTACTGAGCAAAATAGGTATAATATGGCCTAGCTCACATAAATCTTTATTCTTTATAACCTGCAGGAAGGGCAGTGTAAGTAGCATTTTTACCAAAAAGTTCCATTCCAAAGGCAGTTGTAGAGAAAAGGATATGATCACAGGTGAAATTACAGTACTGAGGGATAATAATGTGATTTTTAAAAGCAAAACACTATTGACAAAAATACCAGGTGAAGTCATATTATATAGGTATGCATATGTTCTATTTTATTCCATTATTTGTACATGATATATAAGAGTAACTTCTCTGCTATGTAAGTTTCTTTTTCCATCTTTCTTTCTCTTTCTCTTTTTTTTTTTTTTTTTTTTTGTCCCTGAGACAGGGCTTCTCTGTAGCTTTGAATCCTGCGCTGGAGCTCACTATGTAGACCAGGCTGGCCTTGAACTCATAGAGATCTGCCTTCCTCTACCTCTTAAGTGCTGGGATAAGAGGTATGTGCCACCACTGCCCAGCACTCAGGAATAGACAGGTCTTCTCTGACACTAAAAGGTGGTTTTTGTTGATTGCCTTGTGTCAAATGAAGCCAAAACTCATTTTCTAAACGATTGGCAATCGATAGCATTATTCTACATACAATAATACTATCTGAGACTTTGCTCATTTTCTGGAAAGACCATAAACATAATCTTGCCTTGATGTTAGAAGTATATTGGGTCTTTCCCACTGGTTAGTCTCAAGATCTTTTCATATATTTTATGTTGTGTCTTCTTCAAGGCAGTAGAAACATCACTATTTTTTAAAGAGGAAAAAAATGAAGTTATTATAGTTAAATGGAGATTCAAGTATATATATCCCCTTTTCTTTTTTAAATTTTCTGTTTATGTGTTTAATGGTGTTGTTCACAATAGTTTGGCCGTGTTGATTGTTAGGGATTTTAATAACATGGTATTTCATCAATTGCTAAATTGTTTAATGTGTTTGCTAATATATGTAATATATATGTATATATACACACATTTGTATAATATATATGTATATACATACACATTTGTATAATATATATACACGTATATGTATATATACACACATATGACTATTATCAGGTTTTAGTTGTAATTTGAGTTTTAGAAAGAAATATATCCAGCTATTTGACAAAGTCAGGTTTCAGATAAAAGGCAAAGATATTTTCCTGGGACCCCCAGGACTCCTTGCTATGCTGGGAGCTGTGCTATGCAGCTGCCTGATAAGGAAGAGGCATTACTTGTCTGTCTTTAATATACTCTGAACAC